GCTGGTGCCTCATCAGCATCAGCACACTCCATTATTTCTCCAACACTTCCACCGAGGATTCTACTCATCTCCTTTTCATTTTCCGTCGCGTTCACACTTGTTACGTATTTATCAGGCCATTCACTCTGCCCCATGAAAGCAAAGATACACTCTGCTTCCATTGAAGGCTCGGTTAAATGTGGCAGCCCGATAGGGACCAACCCAGTTGTAGTTGGCGGGCTGCCTAGTTTAAATGACGTTCTTGGAATACGGCCTTGAGCTCTGGCGGGAGTTCCTCCTTCGTGCCTTTGGTGCGCACAAATTTGGCAAGGTCTTGGAAGTTGCGGAAAAGTTCGCATTGTCCAGCATCGTGGAGCTGCTTGCAGAACTTGCATCGCTTGTTACAGTAGTGGGCGGAGTGACTCATGCCACCGCACACCGCGCATGGTCCGTACTGTGGGCGTCGGTTGTCGCGGTTGAAGTCACGTCGACCGCGTTGGTCCTGATTGAACCCACGGTCACCACCTCGGCGATCTTGATTGAAGCCATTATCGCGATCAGGCATGTTTCCACGTGGTTGACGGTTGTCTGAACGTGCGTAGGTGCCTTCAGCAGCTGCACGGCGCTCATTTTCGTTAGCCGCGGCGAGGTATCGGTCGTTTTCGTCCAATGAGAAATCACCGTCCGTATTATCAGGCTGAAAATCGTTGTACTCATCTTGGACATCGTCGTAAGCGTTCGGATCTTCGTTTGAATCCTCGGTACCCCCTTGGGCAGCTTCACGACCTTCTCATTCAGCTAGTAGGTCGTCCACCGTGGCTTCAATGAGTGTCACTCTTGGTTTGTTGCGGTTGTCATCGCGGCGACGGTCATCACGCCGGTTGTTGCGGTCGTACCCATCGTCGCGTCGCGTATCACGACTCTTGAAGTATCGGTACTCACTGTCACGCTTGGTCATTCTCTCCTTGCCCTTGAGAGCATTTCCGATGATCTCTTCGAGCTCGTGAATGTCGGCGACTCGAGCGTGGTAGAGACTCTCCGCTAGCTTGTCATCGTCGCATGTTGCCAGGAATTGCTGTACGTGTTCTTCCGCGTCGCGACCACTCTTCTCAAAGTGTAGACGGGCGGTCCGAGCGTAGCCATTCAGCCGGTTTATGTAGTCGCACAGATGTTCATTACGTTCCCGCTTGGCGGAGTAGTAACGCGACAGTGCCGTCTGCGTGAACTGCGAGCAGTAGTAGCGGATGAACGCATCGCTCAACAGCTTCCACTTGCGCTTCGTCTTCTTCGGAAGTTGACGGAACCAATGAATGGCTCCGTCCCGGAGACTTAGCTCAAATGGAATGCACCATTTATCGGCATCTGTGTGGGTTCCAGTCATTTCATAGACGAACCCACGGAGCCACTGCATACAGTTCTCGCTCTTGTTGCGAGAGCCTGAGAACGGCGTGATGCGATCCAGCGGTCGGTGCGAAGCCATTTCAATCCTCGGTGTCGGGTCTACGTCGTTCAGCGTCGCCAGCTCATTCATCTGACGCATCGACTCGAGTTGAGGATCTTCCTCGTCAAATGTACGCACCAAACTGTCATCGTCACTGGACGAAACCATCGCTGTCGACTTGACGACGTCCGGCACCACCTTTGGGGGCTCGCGCACCGCCTTCAGCGACCGAACGAACGCTCGTTACTTGCGTAAATGCGTTGCATACGGGCTCTCCGAACGTGGGCGTAACCATGTGCGAGTCTTGAAAGTACGGTGAAGCTTCAGTAGTGCCAAAGCACCCACGCTCAGCTCCACGCTTGTCGGAGGAGTACGACGAGTCGTTGGGGCGTCGGTGCCAGTGGAATCTTAGACGGATCTTCATCTTGAATCATCGGTCGAC